AAGGGACATACCACGTGACATAACACGTTTTGTAGCCATTTCCTTACTGTAAAATTTGTATTTTTAATGTTGATAGTGTTCTATGGTGTTTTGAAAGGCGTTGTGAAAAAAAATGCGTTAATATTATTATAATTATTATAACACGGTTGGTACGGGAAATGTTAAATTTGTATTTTTAATGTTGAAAGTGTTTGATAGAAAATAGTGTCAATAACGCCCCCTTCATGTTCGGAATGCAATAGTCCCATTTCCATTTAAGGTATGGGACTGACGGAAAGGTCCGTCACCGCCCCGTTCTGCATGCTGCAGCGAAGTGTACTTGACCAGAGGGGGCGCTCGCGAGTAGGAAGTAATCTGCTTTTCCCCCACAAGATGGCCCAAATCTCATGTGAAGTCTCTGACCTTTGTGTTGGCGCGTCCTGATGGACTGTGTAAAATGCCAGAATTCATATGATGCTGCTACAGCTGATATATATTTGTTGTCAGTATACCTTTTAGTACATATGTTGTTAAAATGAACAGTCCAATGATCATTTTACTGATATGTATAAAGACTGCAAAGGTTGAAAAATCTTGAAGTCTGTATGAAATTGGAGGTAGTTTGAGGATTCAATTTTTTATGCTTTTTAAGCTCAAAAGGGGGGGGGGTCGTATTATACATGAAATCATATTATACATGAATAAATACGGTAAGTGTTAAAAGTTCACTAACAGTTTTTTAAAATGTAATATTTTCTTAAGCTAGAAGAAAACTGGGAAGATCTCATCGTTATAAAAGGTATCAGTCAAACCTGTTCAGTTTATTATCTTGGTTGGTCATTTTCCAGGCAGCTTCATGGAGCTACTCAAATGATTTTAAAGGAGTTTCCACACTTTTAGTTTTTTGCTTCACTTTGATTTCAGTCTAATCCAAACCATCTCTGCTTGTGGCTTAGACAGTTCGTGTTCATAGCTCTATCACTGCAGAATTTACCGTATATAAATGTTACGCATATATTTTATATATATTTCGTAACAAGTTCTGAAGTGCTAATTGATTCATAAGAAACTAAACAGTCCTTGCAGATCTTCCGTTTAGCCAGACCTCAGTCCTTGTTCTTTGAAATTCAAGTTCTTCTACATTAATATATTAAACCCCACATTAGTTTCAGTTGTTGTAAACAACATCCTAATGTTTGTACGGTACATGTAGCCATAGCCTTCCTCTGACACCTACTGTATCTAAATCATTTTGCTGCAGAACGTTCTCCTCACAGACCAATCCTGCAGGCCGGTCTGCCGGCTAATCAGACTGCAGTTGTCGGCAGTGACGTGGAGTTTGTGTGCAGAGTGTTCAGTGACCCGCAGCCTCACATCCAGTGGCTGAAGCACATTACCGTCAACGGCAGCACAGAAGGACCTGACGGACACCCCTATGTCCTGGTTCTCAAGGTACGGACGGCACATAGGTAGTGTTTGTGTTGTTTGCGTTTCAATCAACAAAAACTGCATGTTTCAAGTGTATTTTTGTACTTTCTATTTCAAACCTACATTAATAATACAGTGTTACAATAATGCTATATTGGCCTTTTTGCATAAAAATGACATATTGGCATGTTTTGCATTTCAAGGTCTGGCCCAGTCCAGCTTGTCCCACTCTGGGTTCAAACCCAGGTTCTGCGTATTTGCATTAGCTGTTAGTTCTGAATTCCAGCCCAGTTTATCGGCTCATTTTTCTTTCTGTTATCTAATCTGTTACGCTTTCTGTTCTTTGTCCATCATTTCATTTTTGTTTGTGCATTTTACACATTTTTTTCTTCAAATCTGTACACTGAGTCGATGGCACCGCAATTTTGTTACCTCTGGAAAGCGACAATGACAAAGATTTTTATCCTTATCCTTAATTTCCGGGTGTAAAAGCCCAGTCCTCATGTATCAACAGTGCGTACGCTCAAAAAGGTTGTGTACGCCATTATTCGCTCCAAACTTCAGATGTATCCAGAATGAGATGAGCGTGGAAATATTTGCAGCCGCATGGCAACTTCATGGCTGGCATACAGACGTGTCTGTGATCCTAAAAACCTAAAATTATTATTGTACACACCAGGCACACATGATAAACAACTTTTACATCCACAGTCTTGCAGTTAGATGAGTGACTGTAAAAGAACACGTAAAGTTGAGCCAAAAATACTTTCAACAAGAACAGATTCAGCCTTAATGGAGGATATAATAAATGCTGCAACACTCAGAGTTTGTATTTAAACATAGAGAGGATTTTCTGGATCAAAATGACGACTGGCTCATTAGCTGTTTTCAGCTTCCAAGAATAATTTTTTTGCAACTGCGTTTGGAGCTGTCTGGGAGCGCGACAAAGTAACAAGGAACCATGACGTTCCACAGGGGGGCATTCCAGAGGGAGCAGGCAGACCGATCCGGACTGTACCAGTCTTATCTGAGCTGAGCCATGCCAGCTGAATGGGACAGCCTCATACGCATGATTCTAAAATACCGAGGCAAAAACTCTCCACTGATGCTGTGCGACTCATTCTTGCTTGTCAACTAAAATTCTACAATCTACCAAACATCTGAATTCCTCTGTGTTTACAGTTATTATGTTATTGAACACGTATGTAAAGTTGAAAAAAATATTTCAGGCTCAGAAAGTCTCACGCACGCACGCACATACACACACACACACACACAAACACACACACACACACACAC